CCTTAATCCATTTTGATAATCTCAGTTTTTTAATGGTGTATTTAGGATATTTACATTTAATGTCATTAGTATGCTAAGACTTTTTTGTTTTCTGTTTTTACTGTTTTTCTTTTCTCTGTTTTCTTCTGCTTTCCTGTGAGTTACTGGAACATTTTTTTATAATTCCACTTTTGCTTATTTATATGATGTTTTTGAATGTTTCTCTTTGTAGTGTTTTTTTAGGGGTTGATATAAGTATTGAATTGTGTATACATAACTTCTTAGTCTACTAGTCTTATTATTTTACCAGTTGAGTGAAATATATATAAGCCTGGGCAACATAGCAAATCTCTGTCTTTACAAAAATTAAAATAAATTACCTGGGTGTGGTGTTGTGAGCCTGTAGTCCAGCTATTCAGGAGGCTGAGGCAGGAGGATTGTTTGAGCCCAGGAGTTCAAGGTTATAGTGAGCTATGATCAATAAATCTTTTTTTTAAAAAGGAGATAAAATCTGTGATAGAGCTTGGTATTGTTATAAAAGGTGAGCCTAACTTTGAGAGGGGATGAATAGAAACTTGTGGATTTTTAGGTAAGTTAATGTAACACAACTTGGAATCTCCATGGTGTCAAATTTTTGTAGCCGTTCACTACCCTAACTTCTGTGTGGTTTGATTGCAGCTTGGAGCTTTCACCTCTTTCCTGGTGCATAGAAGTCAGTTGCACCTTCTATCTGATTCAAATTTATTTAGGGGATACATTGGTTCTAGATTTCTAGAATTTCAGTGCCCTCAGCCACAATTATATCCCTAGTGGCAAAGAAGGGTGGTGCTATGCTTTGAATGTATACCCCAAAGTTCACTTTGAAACAATCCCCAATGCAATGGTGTTGAGAGGTGGGACCTTCAGGAGATGATTAGGTCAAAAGGGCCGTGCCCTCATGAATGGATTAATTCCATTTTTACTGGAGTATTATCTCAAGAGTCTTATCATGGGATTTTGGGTTTCTGATAAAAGAATGTGTGTGGCCCCTTTTTCCCTCACCTGTGCTCTTTTGCCATGGGATGACACAATAAAGAGGCTCTTGCCAGATCCAAGCCCCTTGGACTTCCCAGCTTCCAGAACTGTAAGAAATAAATCACTGTTCTTTATAAAATCCTCAGTGATAGATATCGTTATAGCAGCACAAAATGGAGTAAGACAGGTGGTCTAACTAGAAGTGAGGTGTTGATGAGAAAAGTATATGGAGTTGGTCTAAAAATAGAAATTCAAGGTTCAGAGCAAAGGGATGGTAAAGCCTAAGGATCAAGCCTCCTCCCCACTTGTTATTGTACCAGCATAGTTTCTGAGCATTGGGGAAAAAGGAAGTTGGCTTGGAAGTAAATAGGGAAGGGAGGAAACATGAAGAAGAAAGAATTTACCCTTTTTAATGTAATATTTCATTTATTGCCTATGCATTCCTCACATGGCCTGCCATACAGCTTTCCGTCTTTGAGAGACCTCAGCAACTCTGGATAACTAAAGAATAAGTGTACCTTTATGCACCTGCATCACAGTATCAGGCTGCCAGAGCTCCTATTTTGAATCATGTTGCAATGAACATTGGCTTACAAATAAGCGTTTGAGTTTCTTTTCATTTCTCTTCGAGTGGAATGCTGGCTCATGTAGTAGTTCTGTTTAGCCTTTTGAGGAACTTTTCCACAGTGGTTGGCACTATTTTACTTGCCAACCAGCAATGTACAAGGATTCCAGTTTCTCCACATTCTTGCCAAAATGTGTTATTTTGTTTATTTTTAATTATGATAGACCTCCTACTAGATGAAAATGATATCTTAATGTACTTTGGATGTGCATTTCCCTAATCACTAGTGATGTTAAACGTCTTTTCATGTGCTTATGTGGCCGTTTGTATATCTTTTCTTGGGAAATGTCTAGGTCCTTTGCCCATGTTTTACGTGGGTTGTTTGTCTTTTTGTTGTTGATAATTGCAAATATTTTCTCCCCTGGCACATGTGTTTAATGCAGTTCATCTATAAACTATTTAAGTTATTTTTTAACATTTCTTTACCAAGAGAGCCCCATTGGCATTCCTCATGCACCTTTTAGCTCTGTGGTAGTTTGTCTATGAAACCTTCTCTTTTTACAGTAGTAGCATGAGGGCAAGACCAGGTTGCCCTCCAGGGTTCATGTCTAATGACAGCTCATCCCCTTCCACCTCATAAGCCTTCAGCATGTGCAAAACCTAGTTGCTTAATATATTTGTTTCCCCCTTCTAACTAAACGTGTTTACTTTTGCTCCTGAATAAGAATGTTTGATGTGTAATTAAGGGGCCCAGATTGTACCATCTCACTTAGGCTTCAACAAAGGCAACAAGGTTTTTTATGTGGTGCTTAAAAAAAAAAGTCGGACTATACATTTGCTTCTGAGACTATTCAATTCTATTAAAGATTAATATGTTTGTATAATACAGAGGAAAGCTTTTAGTATGTGTTAAGTATAAATAAGTAGTTAGTATAACAGGAGTTTTTAAAAACATAGAATTCATAAGATGGGTTAAGATAAGTAGTAAGTAGAACTTATGTTAAACATAGATAGAATGGAATAGAGAGGTCCAAGATACCCAACATTCCTAGGCACTAAATATACATGAGACATTAGAACACAAACTATGGTACATTAAATATACAAAAGGTACTAAATATTCATAGTGCACAAAATATACATGAGCACAAAATGGTCATGAGCCCTTAATGAGGCCACTCATTTTTGTCCTCAAGTGTCTTATTTCCAAGTAACAATAAAAACCATGGCTGCTCGATAGGCCAACAAGCAGAGCGCAACTTCTTGCCAGGTTTACCTGTGCCTGCATCTCTTTGATAGAACAAGTGTGTGTCATTAGCTCGGGACACCTTGCCTCTGCGGGTGCCCTTACTCAAACCTCTGGTCTTCCACAGCCCCACCGTGAGCAGTAAGGCGGGTATCAGAGTGGGGAACAGGGTTTAAGCTAATATGCTGCTTCCACCAGGCTTGTACCCTCTCCTAACAGTGTTTACTCATCCCATGTCTTTCCCCTGCCTCTTTCAAACTGATGTAATAAACTGCGATTCAGGTATTTAATGTGGTCTGTGAGCCCTTCTGCTCAGTGACCTCATAGAGAGCTTTCCTGGTAGTGTGCCTCAGGCCATTGTACTTCTGACATGACAACATTTCATGTCAAAATACAGAATTCATTTGGGGTCAGGTTGATCATGTTTCCCTTTTCCTTGTAGGAGTGTGTAGTGTGCATCTAGTCTCAACCACGAGTGTTGAACTATAGTTTACTATTTACATAGAAGCAGATTTTCATCACATATTCACTCCTCCCTGATACTTAGAACACCCCATATGCCACCTCCGTCTCATCCCCTTCAGCATTATTCCAGAGCCAGGCACCATCTTAGACTCTGGGGGCTGAAAGGAAAGGCACGATCCCTTCCCAAAGGACAAAAGCTTTGGTAAATACATTAATGTATTAAATGCAATGGTCTGGGTAGTCAGAGGCAGCCTCTCTAATGACTAGCTAATAAAATGACCCTAATGACTCTCTAATAAAAGACAACATTGAGCTTTTGGACAAGTATAAAAAGGGCATTTATGGCTGAGAGTACATGATGCTTTCAGCTAAAAAAGACTTAGCTGCAAGAACCAAAAGCAACTCTGGTTATCCGAGACTAACAGAGGTCACTGGAGGTAGATGTATGACAAGGAGTAAAGACTTACAGGAGATGAGGGATTGAACCAGGAAGTTACCTGGGGAGAGAGCAGATGAAGCAGCTCTTCATATGCTCTGACATGAGAGCAAGGAGGCTGGAGCAGTGTCTGCAAGGGGGAAAAGAAGATTCTGAGATCGAGGAGGTGGTTGTGTAGCAGGACATTGCATGAGATAAGGGGGCCACCAAAGTGTTCTGAGCAGAGGAATAGACTTGTAACAGGAGTGCTCTAGTTACTGTCTTGAGAACAGACTAAAAGAGTTAGGGTAGCTCTGCCATTTACTTTCTCCCTGTTTCCTCCATGTGTAAAAAGTGAGAGATAAACATCGTCTTTACTGCATGGGGTTGGCATGAAGATTAAATGAGTTAATTACATTGTAAAGCACTTCCAACAGTGTCTGACATACAATAAACACGCCACTGCATATACTTTCGCTAATATTATGGCTCCAATATGTGAGGTCTAGAAGCATGTGGCATAGGTAAGGTAGGTTGAGAAAATACATGATTGTTTTCATAATTTCATTTAGTTCTTGGAGAAAGGCTTATCGAATGAATGATTTTGCTTTTCAAGCAGAGCTCTGAAATAGTCCCAAAGATGTAGGAATTGGTATGGTGGATATTTGGTGGACACGAATTACATTGAAACACTGCGACTTGGGATTTTTTTTTTTTTTTATTTGGGCATATTATGGGGGTACAGATTTTAAGGTTTCAATAAATGCCCATTTTCCCCCCTCCCCCCAGAAGTCTGAGTCTCCATCATGACCATCCCCCAGATGGTGCACATCTCACTCATTATGTATGTATATACCCAACCCCTCCCCCCTCCCACCTGCCCAATACCCTATTACTGTAGTACCTATGTGTCCACTTAGGTGCTACTCAGTTAATACCAGTTTGCTGGAGAATGGGATTTGTTTTTGATGTTTTTGTTCAGGGACCTGTTAATTTGTAAAGTCAACACGTTCAGGTCTCCAAAAATGATAAAATATTGCTTAAATTGAAGCGCAGTTCCTTTCTTTATGAGCCCAAAGCTCCGCCCTACTCCCGGGTAGGCGCCGCTTGCCGCGATGCCCCGCCCCGTGCCCCGCCCCCGGGTGCTGGGCGCACTGACTCTTCGTCCCAAGCCCCGCCCCTCCCCGTGCCCCGCCCCCTGGGTGCTGGGCGCGCTCTGGCTCTTCATCCCAAGCACCGCCCCCTCCCCGTGCCCCGCCTCCTGGGTGCTGGGCGCGCGCTATGATTCGTTCCCTGCCCCGCCCCGCCCCGGGACGCCGGGCGCGCGCCGCGCAATTTCCGGTGGGTCCGCGCTTCCTGGCCAGGCCGCTCGCGTGCCCTTTGCGACCTGCGCAGACCTTCGGGAGCTCCGTTCGGGTACTGGAGGTTTATTATTATTTTATAAGTTTCGACTTTTAGGAATTATTCAGAGGCCCCACTGCCGCCTGCTTTTGGTGCCCCTGACGCAGGCGGGGGCTTTAGGCCGCGCTGTAGGTGCTTCACTCGTGGCGCATTTTGTGCTTCCATTCAGATGGGTTGTGAATCCTGGGGACCCCCTGAGCCCCCGAGGCAAGTGCTCGCCGATGTTGCGTATTATTGGTTAGCTTCCGGGAGATTGCGCTGCTCCTCTTTAAAAGTCTCGACACTCAATGCCTCTTCGAATTCATGACCCCTTTCATGGAAACTTAAGTCTTTAAACAGCACAAAAGTAGCCTGTATTGCTTTCCATCTTCTTAGGCTCACTGCATACAAGCTACTTTTCTTTAAGAAAATAGTTACTTTTCCAGGGGTGCAATGTCACATGTAATGATGACTCGGATTTCCATGTATTTTATCCTCCTCACTCCTCCCCAGTCTAACAAGAACTGTGAGTTGGATGCAGAAGTTTCCAAAAGTTTTACAAATGTTGAGTATTGAAATAATTTGATTCTTGGGGCAGGAGCTGAAAGCAGCACCACTCCTCCTCTCTAAAGAGACATTAAAACAGTTGAATTAAGGGTACAGGAGCACTTGCTTTCCAGTTGACAATAATTTGGTATCTGATGAAATGGTTAACACATTACTAGTATAGAGCTGGTCAGTGGATGTTACTTAGTTTCCTTTGGGCCTGTGTTATTAGAATTGAGCTTGTTATGAAAATGGTATCTGTTCAGTATTTACTGTGTGCCAAGCACTTTTACCACTTACCCCCACTGAATGCTCACAACAGCCGGGAACATTGGTACGGTTGTTATCTTCATGATACAGTGAGGGACACTGAGGCTTAAAGAGGTTGATTAGCTTGCCCTTTGCTTCTTAGCTACTAAGGGCGACAGCTGGAACTTGGACCCACTTCTTTCCGACTGCTGTAGAGCTGTGCTTTGAACCAGCTCTGATCCAGCCCATCCTCTGCAGGTGCAGGCCTGGTGTAGTCTCTCCTGTCTGGACAGCGTGAGAAGAGAACAATGCAGAAGGACACCGGCCCTCTGTAAGTGCACAGTAAATGGGAATGGAATAGCCAGGAGCTTCTTGACACCAGAGTTCTTTTCCTCAGCTGACAAGAGCCCTAGGAGTAGGCTGCCAGGGACAGCCTGGGGGTGGAGGATCCCTGAACATGCGGGCCAGGGAACTGGACTTGAGCCCCAGCTCGGCCACTGACGAGTTGCGTGACCCTCTTCAAGTCATCCAACCTCTGTAGGCTTTATTTGCATTTGTACAGTGATAGGTTGGGTCTGGAATGATGACCTTTTAATCCCCTCCTACAATTATGTGGTTTGTTTTCAAAACGTGATTGGCACTGACTTCTCACTCTTGTGTTTTCAGAGTGCCTTTGCATTGGTTTGGCTTTGGCTATGCAGCACTGGTTGCTTCTGGTGGGATCGTTGGCTATGCAAAAGCAGGTACAGTTTTGAAGTTATGTAGCTTCTTAACTTCTTCATGTTGTTTCAGTGAAGCGTGAGGCTTCCTGAAGACCAGTCTTGTTTGAGCAAATCTGCCGTAGGCCCCTGAGTTCGAGTGCAGGCTTCACTGTCAGTTTTGCAGCTCCTGCACTTGCCCTTTGGTTATCTGGCTGAGCAGAGCCAGACTTCTTGTCCAATCACTTGTTTGCCTCTTTATCTAAAGATAGGCAGGGGTGGTTGGAGAGTGTCACTATCGTTAACTGCCACGCATTGGCCATGACCCCAAAGTGCCATCTCTAGGCTCTTTGAGTAGAGGAAACCTCTGGTCTTCACCCACTCATGTTTAGAAGTCTCCTCATTAGACTAGGTGGGGCTGTCGGTGAATGTGCTTGTTTCTACCCCCTCTCCCCAACCCCATCCTTGCCTGCATCACCACCCCAACACACCAGAATTCTTATTCTCAAAATGTTTTTTTTAACTGACCCTATTTCCCTCTCGTTTTGTGATTTGCTTGAGGTCCTGCCTGTACACAACTCCAGTCCTTGCCTGGTTAGAAGGAAGACAGTGCCATCTAAGGAGAGAAGGTCTCCGTCCTTCCTTGGATGGCAGTCCCTGCCTATTAGAAGGGAGAAGAATAGGGTGGGAAGACCCTGACTTCTCTTTTAAGATAGCAAGCTCCCTAAAACATATTCCTGCTTGACTCTGGGAGGCCGAGGCGGGCGGATTGCTGGAGGTCAGGAGTTTGAAACCAGCCTGAGCAAGAGCGAGACCCGGTCTCTACCATAAGTAGAAAGAAATTAATTGGCCAACTAATAGATATAGAAAAAATTAGCCGGGCATGGTGGCGCATGCCTGTAGTCCCAGCTACTCGGGAGGCTGAGGCAGCAGGATTGCTTGAGCCCAGGAGTTTGAGGTTGCTGTGAGCAAGGCTGATGCCATGGCACTCACTCTAGCCTGGGCAGCAAAGCGAGACTCTGTCTCAAAAACCAAAAAAAAAAAAATTTTCCTGCTTGATTACACCTTGGTTATGAGCTGTGTGGAGAGTTCTGCTATTTTCCTCTGTAGAGAAGGGGAGTCTGGTGGATTCTGTTAATGAAACCAGTGTCTGACGTTATAACACAGGCATGTGTTTGCTTCCCTCTAGGTAGTGTGCCGTCCCTGGCCGCCGGGCTCCTCTTCGGGGGTTTAGCAGGCCTGGGTGCTTATCAGCTGTCTCAGGATCCAAGGAACATTTGGGTTTTCCTAGGTACGTCTGCTGTCGCCTTAGGGCAGATAAGTATCCAGCATACTCTTTATCAGAAGGCCCTGGTTTGGTGGGATGTGTCAGGTTCTTCATACTTAATGACAGTTTACTGTTTCTGCCAAGTCCTAAGAAGTTTTAAATAGGAGGGATTGTGCTGGTTTTTGTTATGTTTTCTGTACGTAATTGAAGGGTTTCATACCTGATGAATTTATTTACCAGTAAAAATAGGTTTTGAGGTTGTCCAGTGAAGACTGTCTGCTTCAGCATTTCTAAATATCATGTGTCTGGTTAGGCTCCCATTGGTATTGCATTTTTCCCATTTGAAATCACCTTGTTAGTAGTCAGCTAAATGTGTAAGACGGAGGCCACGCTTCAAGGAGCTTTCGACTTTATTGGGGAAGTAAGACATGGACATAAAGTGGACTTTGTGGACTGGAAAAGCAGCAGGGACCATGGAGGGTGTGGGGAAGGGAGACCCTTTCTTATCAGCGTGGCTCTGGTACATTTTTCTTGGGCTCCACCTATGTGTCAGACACTGCTAGGGGTGTGGGTTCTCCTCCACAACCCACAGGGTGAGAAGGAGGCAGTGTGGAGGGAGCAGAGCGTGTTAACAGTGGTCTGTCTCGGGCTGGGAGGTGAGGTTAGCATGGCTGATGGGGGTGTGGCACAGAGGGAGGGTGGGTCCCAGCTCTGCCTGGTGGCTCCTCCTCATGCTGCAGAGTGCTGTCAGCCCACTGTCCCCATCTCTGATCCTGTTCCCTCCTCAGCAAGTGACCTCACGTAGCATCGGGGACTCTCTGCGAGCCACCAGTCCCAAGCTTCCTTGGCTGTTTCTCTCCCCAGCAAGGCCAGTTCCTCCATTTGGGCTTGGGTCTTTTCTCCCTTCTCGGCGATTTCCGTCAGCAAGGACTGTGTCTTGGACTTGTATCCCACTTAGTGATCCTCCCATTGACTTTCAGAAGCTTCCTCATCTCACCCTTTTTTTTTAAAGGACCTTCTGTGCCCCACTTCCTCCTCAGTTGCTTGCCGTTTCCTTCCCCTTCAGAAACTTCTTTAAAACCATTTGTGCTCCTGTCTCTGTTTTCCTGTCTTCGCATATGTGCCGTGTCGTGTCTGTCTCCTTTCCTGTTCTTCATGGCTGTGAAGTGGCTCTCCGCTCTCCTGGAGACGCCAGTGGCCTGGGGTGTACAGAATCCAGTGTATATCTCTCAGTCTCCTTGTACTTGGCCTGTAGCTGTCCTCGGCACAGCTGACTGATCATTCTCCTGGTTTTCCATCTTCTCATTCTCTTTGTTGACTCTCTTCCTTCTTGGCCATTAAATATTGAATTCTTCGGCCGGCTCCGTTTCATCTTTACTCTCTCACTTGGTAATGTCATTGAACCCATGCTTTTAATCACAACCAATCACACATGGCTCAAAGTTACTCTCCTCCACGCTGTAACTCTCATGAATACAGTTGCCCGCTTGAGATCTTTCAGATGTCAAGGCGTCTGCCTAGCCCTGACCCCGTGATCTCACACACATCCCTCTTCTGTTCTCCACGATCAGGTCTTGGGTCGCTTTCTCCTCAGCCTTCCAGTTCATCAGCAGGTCCTGGCAACGCTGCCCAGCACGTATCCTGAGCTGTCCTCTTCTCCATCTCCACAGCCACCATCCTAGGCCAGTTATCCTCTCCTGCCTGCGTTCCCGAGGAAGTTTCTCGATTGGCATTCCTAGTGTTGTCTAGGTTCCCTGCAGTTTGTTCTTCATGGCCAGCTAGAATATATTTTTACAAACAACTCTGTTCACATATATCTCTGCCTAATACCCCTGATAGCTTCTCATTACTCTTAGGATGAAGACCGGATCTCTGATACGGCCTTCAAGACCCTGTGTGGTCTGGCCCCTCTTCCTCACTAACTGTATCTTGATGTCGTGCCCACTGGCCTTTACTTCCTTCAATGTGCCATGCTCCTCTCACCAGAGGGCTCGCAGGTACTGTTCCTCTGCCTGGAACCGGCTTTTCCCCTTTCAGCTCATTAACTCCTGCTGTAATTCCAGAGCTCAGCCAGTCTTTCTTCCTTGACTAGCCTTGCTTGATTCCTGAATAGGTTGATCCCACTACTGTGTTTTTTCTGTAGCATTATTGTACCTATAGCACATACTTTGTTTTAATTTTGTGTGAGTCTTTAAAATCTGTTCCATCAGACGTGAAAAGAGCAGAGGCTGTTTTTGATGACAAAACATCTTTTTATTCTCCAGCACCTAGTGTATGCTGGACATACAGTAGGTGCTTGATAGATATCTAGTGGGAAGAGTGTGTGGGTAGAGGAAATCATATCTGCAAGGTGTGAACACCCTTATGGCATTTCTAGAAAACTAAGATATTGATGGCTGAAGTGTGGGTTTTGTAGAAGATAGTGAGAATGAGGCTAGGAGGCAGGTGGGGCCAGGCTGTGCAGGCCATATTGCCAATCTTTATACTTAGACTGGTAGATGTGGCAGCCGCAGGAAGCTCCTACCTGGAGAGGGAGGAATAAGCATAGGGTGAGGTCTGGGCCTGAAGAGATAGTGGGACTTTCCTGCTTCTGGTTTCCCTGCATAGAAGATACAATGACTTTTGACCTTCTCTTTTGTCTTTTTCATAGCTACGTCTGGACCTTGGCTGGCATTATGGAATGAGATTTTACCACTCTGGAAAATTTATGCTGCAGGTTTAATTGCAGGTGCCAGGTAATTTCCATTCCATTACTCTCACCAGTCTAGAGTTCAGTTTATTGCCCAAGATCTTTATACAAAACTTGCTGTTTCAGTAACGTGATGCTAGGTTAAAATGCAACAATTAACATTATATGATTTACACACGAAAAGGAAGGCTGCAAAAACATTAGCTGATTTAATGTCAAAGTGGCATAAAATATCCATTCCTGGGAAATGGCTTGTTCTCATATTTGCTCTCTGGTCATCCTGGCTCCTCCCTGCAGTGGCAGAGGCTTTAGTTGAAAGCCAAGACTGCTGTTCTGTGTGTCCACTTGCAGGTGGGTTCCACATTTCTTAGTTGTATGGGTGTTCTTGTTATTGTAAATTTTGCTAAAAAAGAATTTTGATGGAATCCTATTTGTAATTAACTTGATTATAAGCCTAAGCCAATTGTTTTTTAAAAAGTTTGTCCTTAAGTATAATAAAGACATCCTGAAGCAGGGGAGATTTAAAAAATCTGTTTCAGTAAAAGATTACGTACTTGACCTTAATGGTGCTGTCAAGCATAATGTTTTATACTTCAAGCAAAAAAGTCAATGTAGACCAGGTCAAAGCAATAAACTGGGAGGCCGGAGATCTGCATGATTAGCTCTGTGACCTTGGGAACTTTCATCTCTTGCCTGCAGTTTCTTCATCTCCTTCAAATTACGGGAGTTGGTGCTATTTTAACACCTCAGTGTAAGAAGACTGCCCACCCTTGGCATGTTTTCTTTGGTTCCTCCAGGGATGGAATTTATCTCTGACTACTCTGCTTGGAACTCCCTCTCAAAGTTGTGAGGACTTGCAAAGTCCTAGTCCTTAAAAAAAAATAGTTGCCTGTTCTGTCCTTTTCCTGACATTTTTTGTCTGTGTATCTTTTAAACAGTTTGCTGATGGTTGCAAAGTTGAATTAGTATGTTGAAACGACCTCATCAGTAGTAGTCATGTCCTACTTGGACTCAAGAGAATTGAAATCACTAAATCCACTCTTTTCAGTATATTAAGAAAAAATGCAGCATTTCTACATACTGTGTGACATTCTACTTAAAAAAAAAAAAGAACACTGACTTGGTGGGGAGAAAAAATTCAGTCATTACATTACAGCCTAACAGTGGCAAATATATAACAGAGGAACTTATAATACACTCATATGGTTTGATTCTTACATATTGATGTAATCTTCTTTCTGTATCCAAAAGTAATCTCAAGGGTAAAATCTTAGGTGTCAACAATGGGGGCCCTGAAACCTCATACCTGCTCAGAGGAACAGTATAAGAAAATCTCTTATGAGATTTAGGATATCTGTTCTTCTCGCTCATCTGAGAGCACAGACTACTTGAATTATGTTAAATGAAATATGAATGAAATAAAGTTTACTATAAATATTTTCTATGGTGTCTTCATTGCCAGCACTGTCTAGAACATAGAATGAGATATGGATAGCAAGAGATATCAGAAAATGAACATATTTTCTTAATATATACTTAGAAATTACCCTTGAAAACTTAAGGAACATGGAAAGTTACTATTTGATTTTATTGCATTGAGGATTATTTTAAAATGATCTGTGAAGATTCTAAGGTTAGGACTGGTACAGAATTTTGTTAACTAATGTGAAACTGACTTTTCTAGAGCTTGAATCACCTAGTTTGGTCTCTACATTGGATACCTTAACTGGTATGGTACCTTTCACTTTTTTTTCCAGCATTAAGAATTAACTCAATCTGGTACCCTTGCTTTTTCTTTCCTGTTTAAAAGGAAAAGGATATTTTGCTAACATACTCTACCCTAATTGGTATTGTTAGAGCATAATTCAGGCCTTATTTTATGTATTTGCTTAAGCTCCTTCAAAGTGTCCTAGCTTGCGTGCACACACACACATACTTGGCTGCTGACAAGGACACTTGTGATGGGATAGGCCATCCAAAGCTACCATCTCCTTAGCTTCCATAGATACACTTTGTGAATTGTAATGCTGGCCCTGGTTTTTCCATTTGTCTGGAGTGTTTCCAAAGCACCCAGTGGGCCATCGTCAGTCTAAAGGAAGACCTGAATGACAATGTTCCCTGAAGGTAGGAATTGCGCTTAGTTGCAAAGTAGACCCTGTGTGACTACGATCCCCAGTATTCAGTTTTGAACTCGCTGGCAGCACTGATCAACTTTGCTAAGCCTTCTCCTTTCCCTGCAAAGATTCTGAGTCTTTACTGTTCTAAGGATTGTGTGATCCTAGAAGTGCAAACAAGCCGGGTGCTTGCCCCAGTCTAGTGGAGGCAGCTGGCCTCTAACAGATATGCAGGATAGAAACAAGTCGCAAGGTGATTCACATTACTCTGGGGGGCACAAGAGAGTCAGGGTGGGCTTTACTGAGGAAGTGATAGTTAGCTGAGCCTTGAAGGGTGAGGAATGATAGAAGGCAGGATAAATGTTGCAGGTGAGGAAAACAGCTCACAGGCATGAAAGTATCTGGCAAACATGGGTGAAAAACACCCTTATTGGACTGGAACCTAATTCTTTTTAATGGCTTTTTAATAGTATGATGTTTACTATTTATGTACCATTTCCTACTGATAGCAAAAGCTTTAACACACTTCGG